AGATAGGAGAATCACCTAGAAAGATGACAAAGCCAGTAGTTGAACGCTGATCATTAGGATCCCCTGCCAATCAACATTTGTGTATGCTTTCAACTGAGAGGAACCTGACTTAAAAGACAATCTTAAATGCATGGTACCTCTAAGATATCTCAAAATACATTTGACAGCAGCAAAATGAATGCCTAATGGTGAGTGTATAAACTGACACACTTGATTGACAGAAAAAGAAATGTCTGGCCTTGTAAAGGTGAGGTATTGTAAAGCCCCAACAATACTTCTGTAGGTGCTAGGATCAGGAACAGGTGCGCTATCATGATTCAAAAACTTTTGATTAGGATGACATGGTGTGAGACAAGGTTAACAATCTAGCATGTGCATTTTTGAAACAACTCTTACATACTTGGCCTGATGAACAAAGAGACCCTGAGGTTGATACTCAATCTGTAAGCCAAGAAAATAATGCAAGAGACTCAGATCTTTCATTTCAAATTCTCTTGTTAACTGAGTAATAACATGCTGAACCTTTACATCATCACTTCCAGTAAGAATGATGTCATCAACATAGAGTAGTAGAACAATGATTGAAGAACTATCACACTTGACAAATAGAGAGGGGTCAGCATATGAGGATTTAAACCCAAGCTTAAGTAAAAAAAAAACTTGAAAACCTGTTATTCCAGGCTCTAGAGGCTTGCCTAAGACCATATAAGGATCTTTCCAATTTGCACACATTATCTGGACAACTAGAATCCACAGAACCTTGAGGCCGAGACATGTAAACTTCTCCCTCAAGAAAACCATGCAAAAAAAAAAAACATTCTTGACATTGAGTTGTTTAAGTTTCTAGTTGTGAGATGCAGCTAAGGATAAAACTAATCGAACTGTGGTTAGCTTAACCACATGACTAAAGGTTTCATAGTAATCAAGACTAGCCTCTTGAGAGTACCCTTTAACTACAATTCTGGCTTTGTATCTAGCCACTGAACCATCTTAATTTTTCTTAATTTTGTAAATCCATTTGCAGCCAACAAGATTCTTGTCAGGGGGTAAAGGTACAAGTTTCCAAGTTTGTTGCCGAATTAAAGCATCCATCTCCTCTTTCATGGCAGTTTGCTACTTAATGGACTTGATTGCATTAGCAAAAGACTGAGGTTCCTTGATTTCAGACTCCTTGTCTACTTGAACATAAAACACCTTCTTTTTAACAATCCCAAACTTAAACCTGGTTTGCATATGATGACAATTATGAGAAGTAATACATACTGGTTGTAAATCATCAACTTGAGACACTGTAGTATTTGGATGATCTTCTGAATACACAGATAGAATGATATCTGAAGAAGAACCAGGACTTGTGGATGAGAGACAAGATCACCAGAGCTATTATGGGGAGAACATGTGGACTGAGTAACATGTGGTGATCTAGAGGGAAAAAGAGTAGGATGTGTGGAACCAAGAAATGGAAATGTGGTTGGAACCCTAGGGGTATGAATGAATGTGTTTGAATGACCAGAAACATCTTTGGGAGTGAAAGATAAAACATTATAGATGAATGGAACTTGGATTCATCAAAGACAACTGTCTAGACACCAATAATTTTTTTTATCTTTGAGAGAGAAAGATATACCCTTTGTATTATGTAGCATACCCCAAAAAGATGCACTTTGTAGTTTTAGGTTCAAGTTTATTTGTTCTATAGGGTTTCATGGTAGGATAACACAAACATCCAAAAATTCTGAAATGTTCAAGCTTAGGTGGAGAATGATATAATTTTTCAAAATGAGACTGCATTTGGAGGACAGGTGTATGCATTCTGTTTATTAAAAAAAATAGCAGTAGCACGAACATGAAACCAAAACTTTGAAGAAGGCTTGGTGTAAAAGTGTAATAGTTGTTTCTACAATATGTTTATTTTTTCTTTTAGCTAACCCATTTTGTTCTGGGGTATAAGGACAAGATTGTTTTATGAACAATGCCTTTGTCACGAAGAAATTGTTGAAACTGAGTACTAATATATTCCCCACCCTCATCACTTTGCAATATTCTCACATGAACAGCAAAATAATTTGAGACAAAAGCAAGAAAATTGACAAAAACATTGAACACTGCAGCTTTATTAGTCAATGGAAATATCCAGGTATATCTGGTACACTCATCTATAAAGGAAACATAATTCTTGTAACCTTCTATAGACATACTAGGTAAGGGACCCCAAACATCAGTATAAATTACTTCAAAAAGGAATGATAAACTTTGAAGCAATTATAGGGAAAGGTAGTTTTGTAAACTTGCCATGCAAACAAGCTTTACAGATGTGAGGTTCATAATTACAAGGAAAAGAAATATGAGATTTATTTAGGGTTGCAGTGACTATTGAATGTGCAGGATGTCCTAATCTGCAATGCTACAATGTAGAGGAAACTATTTGACCCACAAATGCAATTGGAGGAAGAGAATGAGAAGTAGACCTTTGTGGTTTAAGTATGGGAATGAGAGGATAGACAACATTATTACTCAGTCCGTGGAATAACATTCTCTCGGTGACCTTGTCCTATATACAGAGAGAAACATCATCAATTATACATCGACACTTATTATCTTTGCATAACTGATTCATAGATAATAGGTGTTGAGACAATTTGGGAACATGTAACACATAGTTCAACTTAAAATTATGGGACTTAGTGGGAAGAGAGGAAGAACCAATATGTATGATAGCTAAACCTTCACCACTAGCACTGGTCACTATGTCATTGGAAGGATAAGGAGTTGCCATATTCAAGTTTGACAAGTCTGAGGTCATATGATAGGTTGCTAAAGAGTCAAGAAGCTAGAAATCCTGTGAAGGAACTAAAGATGAATTTCCAGTCAGTGCTTGCATAGCAAGAGCAGTATTTGACTAAGGCATAGCAGATGAATACATATGTGGCATAGTAGAAGGTTGAAACTGTGAACTTGGAGACTGTGGAAACTTTCCTTGAGGAAAACCAAATGGATTCCACACAGAAACTTGACCATATTATCCAGTAGGTATTTGAGCAAGCATAGGTGAAGAAAACCCTGAGAAGAGTAACCTGATAACTCTGAAGGAGTCTTATTCCTATCAAAACATGTAGCAGCAACATGACCAACTCTGTGGCATATCTGACACCCATGTTGAAAGCAATTCAATGCAGAGTGACATTTGCGATCACAAATCTGACATATTTGACTTGGATTATAAGCTGGAGACATAGACTGTGGGGTTCCATTGTGCTGAGAGTCATAAAAATGTGACTGAGAATAGCCTCCATGAGGATATAATTGAGTATTAGAACCATGATATTGTCCTTTAGAGTTATTGCTATAAAACTTCTTTATTTTCCCTTTGCCTTTGTAATTATTGCCCCTAAAGTTATTGTATGAGCCAGAGCCATGTTGAGTAACGAAAGCCATGTGAACATTACTCACATAAGGTAATTGATGAAAACCTTAAGGCACTTGTTGAACACCCTGAAGTGGCATGGGTGCCATTAGCATAAATGGCAGTGAAGCACTAAGAGTACCAGCAAAACCTTGATCCAAAATTGATGCAGGCTTTGTTCCAAATGAACTACCATGATCAAAACTGGGGCTGGAGGATTGAGTAAACATAGCAGACATCAAAGGAATCCGTTTAGAAGTTTCATCCAGAATAGTTTCTTCTGCCTTCAATTGAGATCTCAGTTATTTGAGTGCCACAAGATTCTCCCGACCATGGATGACTGCCTTAATTGTATTATATTCACTTGGTAGACCTCTCAAGGTAACAATTACAATATCTTTATCCGAAATGATTACACCAGCAACAGCTCGTTGATCTCGAGATTCCTTGATCTTTTAAAGATATGCATCAATAGATTCAGGACCTTTCTTTATATTCTGTAAGTCAATCTTGAGTTAAACAATACTAGTTCTAGTAACACTATAAAAGCGTTCTCGAAGATTCAGCCACATCTCCTTGGAACCCTGACATCCAATAATACATGACAAAGCAGAAGGAGACAACGTAGCAGAGATCAAAGTCATCAAAGCTTTGTCATGAATTTTCCATAGTTTGTATGCATCAGAGATATGATGATTGTTATCAACAGTTTCTTCTTCAGAATCAGAATCTGCAAACTTATCAGGATAGGGAATAAAACCATTCACAAATTCAGCAATTCCATTTCCTTCCAATAGGAGATTCATTTGAAAATTCTAGGTAACATAATTGGAATCATCAAGTTTCACCGTGACTGTATTCCCAATACTCGGAATTAAAGATGAAATTGGAGATTGTGTAAAAGCTAATTGAATTGGAGTCACCATAGCTTTTAGTAGTGTGTATGTAAAGCTTTAACAATCTTGAGACAATTTTAATACACAAGAACAAGACACAAAGGCAATTGAACCCAACAACAACAACAATAAGCGAGTAATTGCAGAAAACAAGAATCTTAGGAATACATAACACGAAATCCCCAAATCTTAGGGTTATAGATTATCACAGAATCACAACCAATGCACGAATCAAACACGTTGATCTGAAAGAAAGGGAATAAATCGACAAAACTTGATGCACGAAGACAATCAAGAACCCAGCAAATCAATTGATGAAATGACGTTCAACCAAGCATCGACAATCTAATGAAAAATGCCAAGCAAACACCAATACACAACCGGAGAAGACGAAGAGCTGACGACCGGAGAAATCACTGAGCACCGATCACAACCAGAGAAGAGTAGCGGAAGCACGACGGATCGTCAACCGGAGGCATGAGCCACTCCCGACGATGATACCATGTCAACAATGTAAAAGCTTAAGAACTAAGTAAACAAGAGAGAGAAAGTAGAGAAGGAAAGATTGTTAAAACTGAATATTCACTTGTATTCAACTTGTGTAGAATAATTACAACTATTTGTATTTATACATTAGTAAGACACCTCACTTCTAACTAACCAATGCCACTACCAATAATACAAAGACACTTGTCATAATCTTATGCACTCATAATCTCATCAACTCTATCATATGCAACATTATTGGCCTCTCGATTCCAAAATGAAACCTTCTTATGAGGAATATTTTCCATTAGCTGACGGGTATCATCAAAGATATGACCAAACTGACCAATGTTTGCTGCTGAATCCCGTTGAAGTGCTGCAACCACCAGTAGAGCATCCCCTTCTAATTTCACCTACGCCCCGACCCACCGTCGCGCAAAGGGTGCAACCTCTCGAGCAGCCATACACTCTACTAGCGTTAGGGATTTGATTCCTCCAACGTGCCGCGCCATTGCAACCACAAAGTTTCCATTCACATCTCGAACTATCAATCCAATACCACCCTGATCATGCCTCTCGTCCCATGCCCCATCAAAGTTGACCTTCATCCATCCTGCTGCAAGTTTCCTCCACTTTTGGGGTGTACTGACTTTTTTGCAGCTATGTTTCCCATGCCATTTCTTAAACTCATAAAGCCAAGCTTGGGCTTCGCATTGAATATCAATTGAATTCATTGCCACACCCCTCCATAAATATGCATTTTTGTCTGTCCATATGCTCCACAGAAGAACCAACACCAAGTCAAACTATCATTTACTAAAGAAGATTGAATTAATTTAACACTACGTTCTTGTAAAATATTTTTGTGAACATTTTAGCCAAAATAATATTTAAATTCTAATACCAAATTTTTTTCTTCACAAAAACGCAATTAGAATTGCTTCATTATTAGGTTATGCCCTTGCAAAGTGATTAGGTACGTAGTTGGGCATATAATGAAAAAAAAAAAAAAAACTAAGGTTCATATATTGTAATATGTTAACCTCGTTCCTTTTTTTATTTTTTTATTTTTATTTTTAATTAAACTAGGTCAATGGTGAAAATATAAGGAAATAATCAGAGACACAAAAAGAAAGCATTAGCTTACAATTAATTAAAAGATACATTGATTTAATACCTAATGAACAAAACATTAACTTAATACTTAGTTTAAATAATTTGATTCTAGTGAATAAATAATTTTATGTCTCAGCTTAAGTTTAATAGTCATTTCAGTTTGTACTGTAGACATTTAAAATATTTTCTAAACCATAGATGATATATTTTAACCTAAAACGTTTTTGAGTAAAAATGATATCTACTCCATGGTCCAAAATTTCCCTTTCTTCATGCAAAAATCCTTTTGGAGTTCATGCTTGCACAGCAACGCTCATTTGGGTGGGCCAGCTTTACCACTTAAATTGTCTAACGAGTTCACCATTTCAGTCCCTATACTGTGTAAAAATAATCACAAATGGCAAAATTTGAATGGAAGTATCACGAATGACGAGGTACTACAGTACCACCTAATAATTTCTCCTATAAGTGTGTACATACACCAAATATCCGGTGAGTCCCTATACTTTAGGGACTTACTTTCCGACCCATTGGAGAGTCATTTTGTCCCTGTATTTGTTTTATACTCATTTTATACGGTGATTGTCTCTATTTAGGAACTTCATTGGGGATGCTCTAAGGCTTCACAATTCTTCCTTGAGAATTTTAAACCCAAATCTTTTAGGTAAAGCGCATGTTATTTAGCACAAAAACAAGCATAACTGTTCTTCTGAAGTCCTCATTTTGAGGACCGGTGGGTTCCTTTTTCATATGAGCCATGAAAATAATCTTATAATAAATTAAGTTATCAATTTAAATAATTCACATCACACTGAAATACAATAATTCTGTAAATTGATTAAATTAAAAAGAAAATTCTCACATGAAACCTTCGTCTTCTTCCCCTACCGTTCTCTCCTTCACATTCCCTTTCTCTCTCCATCTCTCTCTCTCTCTCTCTCTCTCCTCTCTCTCTCTCTCTCTCTCTCTCTCTCTCTCTCTCTCTCTCACCTTTTGATTTTTTTGTTTTTCCTTTTTGCGTATGAAAAAGGGATAGAGACTTGTTTTCAATTTTTCACCGTCATTGGAAATTTCATATAAAAGAAGGTGCATGCATTCAACAAGAAGGTGTCCCAATTTTCGAAACCATACTAATCTCATTTTTTTCGTGTTTTGTGACTAACTGGGTTTGAATATTATTGATAAAATATTGGATGAAATTGGGTGTATAAAGTTATTAGGGTTTTATGCAATTGGATTTACTAGGTTTAGATATTCGATGAGAAGATTAGGTTTTGTAGATGGAAATGATTTGATATGATGTGAAACCTTCTTCTCTCTCTCTTTTTTTTTTTTGTGTGTGTACCAGAGATTATTTAAGTTGATAGTTTAATCTACCGTAATATTAATATGAAAGTTCATATGAAAAAAGGACCTCACAGTTCCTCAAAATAAAGACCTTAGAAGAGTAGCTCTGCAAAAACAAATACACTTGTTGACACATTTTTTTAATGTACGTGAGTATCACATATAATGATAGAGTCCATCTCTTAAAGAGTGCCAACAAGTGTGTCAATTTTTGGTATTAAAATAGAATTAATGTTAGTTAAAATGTGTGTGTACAGCCATTCAGTACTACGGTTTTGTGATATTCATCTTCACTTAGAAGTGAGAGGTCTTAGGTTCGAATTTCATGGATGACGAATTCGATACCAAATTAGGTTGTCCATTGTATGGCTTAGCCGAACTCCACCTCCCCTTAATGTAAAAATATCTATGTACTAAAAAAAATGTTTGTGTGAAGTGCAGAGCATATAATCAATTAGAACATTTGGAATATAAGAGTTTCTCTGGAGACTTGTATGTGTTCTTTGTTTTTCTTGACGACTCTTTCATACTTTGAAGAACATATAAAGTATTTACTAAGCCAATGAATCACATCCATATGGATCAACATCGAAGGTGATTAAAAACAATATTAATTAATATCCATCTGTTAATAAGATCATTCCAGATAGTATTGACCATAAAATCTCTCCTTAAACTGGTGGGTGTTGGCTTAACATGCTTATATATCTTTCCCTAAATATAAGTTGGTGTATGCTAATCATGCATAATAAGACTAGTTATTTCCCAAAATGAACTGCTTCTAGTTTTCTAAATTAAATTAACAATTGCACAACAAAATGTATGGCAGTGATGAAATATTGTGTGGTCCTGGTTCTGGACATGCATATTAGAATACTCATTCATACCGACCAATATCATATTATATAAATTCGACAACAATCTAATGGGAATTTTAACGAAAAACTCCTGGTATATATAATTTTTCAAAATTAAATGGTCTTCTCTCCGTGAACAATACTCCCAAATTGAGCGGTTGTCTGCTGGGTGGTCACATGACACTGAAATCTAATTTCATTTCTTACAAAGCTTGAGAATGCATTTCATGTTATTATAGCTGTAAGTGTAAACCATATTATTTCAAAGTTGTACATACATACATACATATACACATAGACTTCCGCTCTCTTGAAACATATATATATATATACAGGCCCATTATGCAAAGGGATACCCATTTTTTTCAAAAAATGGGGATTAGGTGTGGGGCTCATTTCACATCGAACTTCAACGATCCGAACCGTCTATTTTGTAAGTCTCGATTCATAGATCATTCTTGCAACAATTCAATTTAATCCGAAACCATTTGCCTATTTAATTATCAAGATAAAATTTCATTGTTTCTTATATAACAAAATATTCGTTCATTTCTTTGAACCCAATTAGATGTCTTAAACATTTCTGATTTGGCTAATATTTTGTAAGGATGATCTATGAGGTGCAACTTGAAAAATAAACGGTTCGGATCGTTAAAGTTCGATGTAATGTGGACCCCACAACTAATCCCCATTTTTATAAAAAAAAATAAGGATCCCTTTCCTTAAAGATTTCCTATATATATATATATATTTCTTAAAAGAAAATGCAGCATGTACTGTATATTATCTAAATATAATATATACAGCAACAAAAGGAAACTTTATGCATTAATTATACATAAAGGTTTATAAAGTCTTTCAATATATAGTTCTTATAATTTTCTAATTTCAGCAACCGGTAAGATCTACCAAATTTGGAATAGAGACTAAGCTACTATAATCAATAATTATAGCAGTCCATCACGTTTTGACGAATATACCAGCTGGTTGGCTTGCTGCACTTTACTTGAGGACTGCACTCATCTTCATTCCTTCGGCCGCAGGTTTGTTGTCCCCAAATTTCATATCTCTTTTGTGTTTCTTCTCTAAGGGTGTGTTTGTTGCACCGGACTGTCTCGGACTGGACTAGCTGCAGGGACTAAGCTGGACTGGCTTAGACTAGACTAAGCTGGACTAGTTTAGTGAAGCGTTTGGTGCAGTGTCGGACTAAGAATCAAGATAATCATAACACAGGAACTTCACAAACAACCATCCATTCAATCAATTGTTCAAATCGATGGTCCGAGCATATTTCTGCTATATAGTCAAAGAGTTTGTTTTCTAATTGTTCATTACTTCATTTCATCTCAACATGCAAACAAAGAACAAATCTGACTTTCAAAAGAATGAGTTCTGACTCTCTGTAGAGAATTAACCCCAAGAAAATGTTGCAACTACGAACAAAGAATTTAACTTCTTTGGTTGCAAAAGATACCAAACCAGCAGGGCAGCAAGTTGTTCAGTAACACCACTAAAATTGGAATTCTTAAATGTGAGAATCAAAATCACATAGAAAACAAAGTAATAATTTTTCAAAAAAATAAGAATTGAAGTAGTAGAAGCAATGAGTAACATCCCCAAATCAGTTGAATAACCAATCAAATTTCATTTCAGTTGGGTATTTCTTCAAACACCTTATAGGCAGATAAGCTTCGCACTTCGCAATTGAAAATCCCAGAAAATATACATAAGCAACAAGGATTACATGAACCACCATCGTATTTCATTCCCTACCAAGATAAAGATTTAGTTTCCCAAATCACACTTATTTTGGAGAACCCAGATGCTCAAATTAATTAACATTTCAAAATTAATGAAAAAAATATGTTGTATAAGTCATATTTTATAAACCTGATCAAACATAATCAAGTTTAAATAACAACTCAGACACCAAAAAATAAAACTTGTTCCTGCAGATCCATGAAATGACATAACAACAGTAATCAAACAGACAAAGCAAGATGAATTAGGAAGAATCCCCAAAGTCTGCAAGACGAATCCCCAATTTGCAAGACAAATAATCTCCCCTCGCTGCAAGACGAATCCCCAATTTGCAAGAAGACGAAGATGAATGGGGTGGGTGGGGCTATAGGTGCAAAGAGAAGACAGAGAAGCAGACGGGGAATTGAACAACTGCCCATCACTACCAGAGAAGATGATTGGGGTGGGTAGGGTTGTCGGTGCAAAGAGAAGACATAGAACAAAGGAGAACGAAGGAGAGGCTGCTGTTGGTGAGGATCTGTTGGTGAGATTGCTGCTGGCGAATGAAGGAGAAGACGGGACTAGCAATCCTCTCATTTTTGGGGGGACTGGCTAAGACCTTCTAGCGAAAGTGCTAGTCCACGCTAGTCCTCACGAGTCCCATTAAACTTAGT